CCAATATGGAAGCTGAATTATCTAAGTTGCCAAGAGATGAAGACCCAGAAGCTAAGTACACATATGCGGCACCAGTGTGGAAGCAATACTTGATCGTCACCTGGAGAACAATTGTACAAAAATGGAGATCACCAGGATACATTTATGCGAAAATATTCTTGGTTGTTTCGTCCTCTTTATTCAATGGGTTCTCATTCTTCAAGGCAGACAAGTCATTGCAAGGATTACAAAACCAGATGTTTTCAATCTTTATGTTTTTCATTCCGTTCAACACAATTGTTCAACAGTTGCTTCCTCAGTACGTGAAGCAAAGAGATGTCTATGAGGTTAGAGAGGCGCCATCGAGGACGTTCAACTGGCTTGCTTTCATCAGTGCTCAACTTACATCCGAGATGCCATACCAAATTGTCGTGGGAACTTTGGGCTATTTCTGTTGGTATTACCCCGTGGGTCTCTACGCCAATGCCGAACCAACAAATGCAGTTCATGAAAGGGGTGCTCTTATGTGGCTTTTCATCACTAGTTTCTATGTTTACACCAGTACCATGGGTCTTTTGTGTATTTCATTTGTTGAGCTTGCTGATAATGCTGCAAATCTTGCCACGCTTTTATTTACAATGTGTTTGAACTTCTGTGGTGTGCTTAAGACGGGTGACGAATTGCCCGGTTTCTGGATCTTTATGTATCGTGCCAATCCATTCACTTATTTGGTTCAAGGTATGTTGGCTACAGGATTGGCAAATACATCAGTGCAATGTGATAAATCCGAGTTGTTGACGATTGATCCGCCAAGTGGACAATCCTGCTCGTCATACTTGCAGTCATATATTCAACAAGCAGGTGGATACATTGTTGAATCGAATGGCTGTCAATTTTGTCAAACCGACCGTACCAATACATTTTTGGACTCCGTTAGTTCCAAATATAGTCAGAGATGGAGAAACTTTGGGATTGTTATCGCCTTCATTGCCATTAATATTATATTAACTGCATTGTTTTACTGGTTGGCAAGAGTTCCAAAGGGAAACAGAGAAAAGGATCACAAGAAGGACAACAAAGAGAAGAAGTAGATGTTAAGAAGATAGGATGTTTAATTATTATTTCATAGAGTTTACGTAGAATGTTTTTTTGTATATATATATTAGACTAAATAAGTATGAATACAGTTATTAAAACAAAGAATTCCAATTTATAGTTCGAGTAGAATTTAGCGCTAATAATATAGGGCCGTACTATATTAAGATTTGCGCTTCCCCCTTCGGGATTTAAAATGAACTTTTTAACAATATTTTATTCTGAAATCTCAGCGCGGAAATACTAAATGTGGTAAAGTAATAGTTTAATTTACTTTAAATAGTATAGTTAAGACTGATATTCCTGTTCAATATCAGTTGTAGAATCTACAATGTGCAAATATACTGCATGCATCTTTGCCTATTTAACCATTTCACGGTTTTAATCGTCTTCAATGTAGCAGTAAACGTTTGGCCATAGTTTAACCCTTCACAATAGTTCAAAATGTTTATTTAGCTAGTAAATTCAAAAGAATGAATATTATAGACTCATTAGTGTGGTTAACCGTAAAAAATTGTCATTAGAAGATTTTAGTGTTTTGGTCCACTCTTTAAAAAGCTTTAAAAATGAGCCTGCTTGTTTAATATGCGCCACATCACATTACAAATTGAACAACGATATGAGGGCACTCTATTACTTGAGATTATTAGGCACACTCTCTCACACGTGCAACCCCTTCGCAAAACTCTAATAAGTTCGTTGAAAGGGTTTGTCAAGAAGAAAGAAAAGAACGATTAAAACTACAATCGGCTTTATAATCGCTAAGTCTGTAATATGTGCAAGCTCTAAACTACAGGGAAAATTGTAACCGAACACCACAATTGAATGCATTATAGAAAGGGTAAGCAAGGCTCAACCTTAGGTTCATAACCTCTGCTCTTTTGCAAAGATCTACCTGTGAAGTTACACACAGTTCATAAACTCAATAAAAGAAATGCATTGTATTTTATTGCAGAAGGGGGAGAAGGGAAGGGCATTATTTGTATTTACTTATTGCCCTATTGGATCATTTGCTGTATATTGTGGTTAAGTATAACCTGCAATGTATCAAAAGAATATCCCATATGCATCCAACATATCTAATTAGTCGTTTTGCAGGTTTTGAGAAATTTTGTTAGTGAGATGTTTCTGATTCTCGGAATTAAGCAGTAACTTTCTTTAAAGTCTTCCCAATCACTAACAGTTGATGGGCCACTCATTACTTCTTAATGGGAAATACATAGTAGTCACCTAAATGATTTCAATATCATACGATCGGTTCTGAACTTTGTGTGATAAACAATGCAGCATTTCATAAAATCTAGGTACAGGGTGAATATAATAAAAAAGGCTTTCCTAAAAGAATAATACTTTTGTATTCGCTCGGTTACCACCCAACTTTGTGTGTCAAAATATACCCAAAAAGCCAAATTCATATCTAACTCCAAAAAGTATCAAAACCCAAGGTTCCACGTATATTGTGTTTCTCTACTTTTGTTTTGATGTTCTTAGCTCCGTGATTTTTTTCTATTTTGTATTTTGAATTTTGTAATTTGTGATTTGTTTCTTTTTTTTTCTTGGGTTTGCGCTCCTAATATCATTGTAAATAGTACAATCCCACACATAAGCTGCGTTTTACTAAAATTAATTACTTTATAGTAGGCAAACACTAGAAAATCATTGAACTGTAAATAAATAAATAACACCGACCAACATTAAATCATGACTGTTATGCTAATAGTCTCAACTGTTTTTTTAGTCTATTTTTTGAATCCCTTATACATAAATGTATATAAATCGCAATATATAACTATTATTGAAAATTCCAGAAACATAGAAAGTCCTACTTTAAAACCTACACCTTTTCAAACACTAAAATCCCCAAAAACTGGACTTAGCGTAGTCACTTTGAACCTCCTCCTTAGCTCGCAAATTTTGTCAATTACTTGCTATGTTGAAACTTGATTCAGAGTCAACTCAAGACTCTTCCAATCCATCTAAAAACCCCGATAAACCGAACGAGTCTATTGTCAATCACTCCGAAGGCGAGTACCAAGGGTTCAATGCCGAAGATGTTCACCATTTAGCGAAAACGTTTACAAACGAAGACTTGGATTCAACCGCCAGTATGAAAAGATATATGACACACATGTCCCAAGTTCCTGGGGTAAATCCGGTACTAGAACAGAAAGAAGATGAAAGGTTGGACCCAAACTCTGAGAATTTTGATGCCAAGTTCTGGGTTAAAAATGAAAAGAAGTTGTTTCAAACGCATTCAGATTACTACAAACCTTCCAAATTGGGCGTCAGTTACCGCAATTTAAGAGCTTATGGTGTTGCTAACGATACAGACTATCAGCCAACAGTGACAAATGCTCTTTGGAAAGTTACCACGGAAGCCATTTCACATCTAAGGAAAGAAGACGAATCCAAAATGTTCAACATTTTGAAACATATGGATNTTGAAAACTATTGCCGTCAACACTTACGGTTTCCACATTGGTAAGGAATCAAAGATAACCTATGATGGTCTAACGCCAAAAGATATAACCAAGCATTATCGAGGTGATGTCCTTTATTCTGCGGAAACGGAAGTTCATTTCCCACATTTATCAGTAGGGGATACTTTGCAATTTGCAGCCAGATTGAGAACACCACAAAATAGAGGTGAAAATGTGGATAGAGAGAAGTATGCAGAGCACATGGCCGATGTGTACATGGCCACATATGGATTGTTACATACCCGAAATACCAATGTCGGTAATGACTTTGTTAGAGGTGTTTCAGGAGGCGAAAGAAAGAGAGTGTCAATTGCTGAGGCTTCATTGAATGGTGCTAATATTCAATGCTGGGAC